AAATATTAATCTTTTATAAATTAATATTTAGAAATCTACATTAGTTTCCAAAATAATTTGAAATGTCGACGATATGGAATTGAAAATTAATTTGGTACAAATAATATATACAAAGTTATTTTGTACATGATGATAATGTAATTTCCTCTTCATGATATCGTATAAATTATAATCTCGATAAAAAAATACAAGGTATAATTTTTTATTAGTTATTCAGGTGGGTTTTATCATCAAATACAACTAGTAGCTGGCCAAATATTTAAATTACAATAAATGTGTAGTCCAGTCCAGGGTTGCCAGCTCAAAATTTTAAAATTTATAAAAATTGCTAAAAAAAAAGTCGATAACTATTTTTCAAAATAAAATAGTTACATATTTTTACTTATTAACATCTTGATTTATTAAAATATTTTTATTTTATGAGAATGTATAAGATTTTATAAAATATTAAAAAAATATGGAAAATTAGAGTTATTATTAATTATATTTTATTTGAGATTTAAATAATGGAACTAAACGTTTACCATCGTTATTGAGATATTTATAAAATTGCTGGCATGACATATTATAATTTTATTTATCCATTAGCTCGGCCTCTAATGTTGTTAGAGCAATCCGATTTCTCTTCTTTCTCCAGGCAGCCCTCATCAGGCTAAAAAGGCACTCTGATGAGGCATTAAAATGAGATAAGGAGAAAACATACCTATTTTTTTCAAGTATGGGGATTTATCGTTATTACGAAAAAATTCCACCCAATTCCTCTCTGATTTTAGACCATCTAACTTTAAGTATTCTGGCAAATCATAAAAAATAGAGAGAATTACAATCTAATCAAACAAGACATCAATGTCTATCGGTATTTTAATATATTTATTAAATTATAAAAACCATGTTTCTGTTAGAGGTCCGCATTGGACTGGTTAAAAGATTTTTTAAACTATGTGCGGGTGGGTGGGCGAGTTAAAAATTTAAGCAATGGTCGGGTGGGCTAAAAAAAAATTAAAATCTTTTAATTTAATATTAAAAAAAATGATTTATTATGAACCTTTTGGATATTAAATATTAAAATGTCCTCTTTTTTGGTATCATAAAAATTCTTTTGTATATTTAAAACTACTTTGGTGGAAACAACAAGAAAGAGATTTGCTAAAGCTATCAAGATTAGCAAGAAAAATATTGGCAATTCCGGAAACTAGTACCTCTTCTGAACGAGAATTTAACATTGCTGGAAGGTTTTTACAATAAAGAAGAACATGTTTGAACCCATAAAATGTCGATTCATTATTATGTTTGCATTATAATAACATAATATCTTCATATATATATTTTTTCATAAATATTTTATTTGAATGAGTTTATGTGATAGTTGATTTTCTGGCCCAGTCTCCAGCAATAAGATATTAAAGAATTATATTATAAATTAAAAAAATAAATATATTAACATCTCATTTTATCACAATAAGAACGATTATTTATTCGGATTATACTTTCTGATTGCCGCTCTAAAGTTGGGGATGAGTCAACATGGATATATTAATATTAAGATTGTGGAAATAAAGATACTTAAAAAATATTTTAAAAATTTTTTCTAAGTATTTTAAAAGGTGGTTAATAGGAAGCTAATTTTTTAAAAAAATAGCGGAAACCCTTGTAAAAACACGTTTTGAAATTCTAATTTTAAATAAAATCAGTTTTCCGAAAATAAAGAGGTATTTATTTGAGATTGTTTGCCCCATAAATCTTTTTCTACTGTTCAACTACACTGAAATATTAATAGAATAGGTTTTACAATATAGATTTTCGCTCTTTGATTTAATTGAGTTCATAAATAATGATTATCACATTGTCATTTTCCTTTGGTATATCTGTTGTAGTTCTGTACTATTATGATATATATTTATACATATATATTATAAAATGTCAATCAAAATATTATTTTTTTTGTTATTTTTCGAGAATTGATATTCAAACACTTTGATTTTTTTTACTTTTAACTTTTGACTTTTTGAGGATTGAATTGAAAAAAAAATTGAAATATTTTATAAAAAAGAAGAAAAATTATATTGTAAGATATATATATGAAAAATAGAAATTTTGAAATAAAGAAATTAAATAAATTCAATAATATGGTACCGAACGACCAGGATTCGTGAACACTTATTAGGGAAAAAATAAGTTAGAGAAAAATATAAAAACTAAGATATTTAGAGGAAAAAATAAAACAAAAGAGTGTTTTATAAAAATAAATTTCAGACGTTATTAATCAAGAAAAAGATTTTCTAGGACCGGGTTCCTCAAAATAATAGTAATTCCTGATATATATAAAGGTAAGAAATTTTTTTTTTGTATTATAAATTACACAACGAAATAGTAAGATTTTTGGATTAAAATTAGAAATATATGAGATAAAATTTTAAATTTTGGGTAATTATGAAAAAATGGCTTTTTATTTTAATGATAATTATAATAAGTATAATATTAATAAAATGGCAAATTTTAAGAGTAATTTTAATAAAATTTTTAATTCAAACTTTAATAAAGTGGATGTGACCAATAATCATAACTGCAGTAATTTTTTTTGCGTTTTATGTAATCTTAATTATAATGAAACAAGTAATAAGGATAAAAAGAAGATCTTAAAAATAGAGAAAATGATATAAAAAATACAAATACTGAAAATTTAATTCCTAAAGTTTTGGTGAAATCTCCAGATATTTCTGAAGATATCAAAAATAGTTTACATTTAATTTAGTTAGAATTAAAAAATTTAAATGGTAAAAAAAATGTTATACTGGAAGAAAAATCCGAGAAAATATTAGATACGGGTGAAGTATTTAATTTTCCTAAAAAAAATGACATATCGGAGGATATAAATAAAAAATTAAATTCAATTGTGATAGAATTTAAAAAGCAAATTTCTGAGGTTTTAATCGAGAAACCAGTAGAAATTTTGAAAAATAATAATACTAATAATACTTTGAGACAAAGTACAGAGGAATCTCTAATTTTACGTGAAATTAGAGAAATGAAAGAAAATATGAAAAATTTGTCCAGAGATGTTTCCAACTTAAAAATTAAAAATAATAATAATATAATTGAAAGTTGTGAACTTTGTGGAAGAAAAGGACATATCGGTAAAAATTGTTATTCAAGAGACCGAAAAACTAATGAGAATGTGACTGCAAAACCAAGTGAAAAAAATGACATAGTGTGTCATAGATGTGGTTTTGTAGGACATATAAAAAGAAATTGCATGGTGAAAGAAGCCAATTTCAAAAGTGGATTTCCGCAACGAACATATGTAGTGATAAATCCAGTGGTTCGAAATATACAAAATCCTAGTATTACAAATATGGATAAAACAGAAATATACAATACAGACCATGAAAGAATGTGTTTCAAATGTGAAGAAATGGGACACATTGCCATACATTGTATCCAAAGTGTGAGTGGGTCACAGTGACTATATGATTTGAAAGAGAATCATATAAAAATAGAAAAATCATATTTAGAGAATAATAAATATTTTGATATATATGGTTTTATTAAAAATTTTGTGGATATATATATAATAAAATTGATAATCATCATGGGAATGATGATTATACATTGAAATTTAACTCGAATAAAAAGAGTTTTAATGTAGGAAATTTTTATTGTCATTTTGATGAAATAAAATTTTTAAATTAACCAATAATCTGAATAAAAAGGATTATTGTAATCAAACAAGTGAGAAATATCCAGGAGAGATTTTTAATAAAAACATAAATGAGATACAGAGATCTTTAAATTCTGAGATGAATTTAGGTATGAATATTAATTATATTGAAAAAGAGATTAAAATAAATATATCATTCAACCGATTAAATTGCCTAAAAATTTAATAACTGAGGGAGCAAAGGAACAGAGTTCATGTCCTCATATTAATTTAAAATTTGGTGGACAAATGGTTGAAATGTTATTTGATACCGGGGCAAGTATTTCAATCATGTCTTGTGAAAATTTTTATAAATATTGGCCTAATGATATTATTGAAAAAATAAATATGTGTATAAAACAATTTGATTCTGAAATCAAAGTTATGGGTAGAACTCAGTGGGATGTTCTTTTTCATGATATTCGTATAATTTTGGATTTATGGATAGTGGAAAAAAATGTTGAAGCAATTATGGGTTGGGATTGGATTAGCAAACTTGGACCTAGAAATAATTATTGGGATTTATTTATAATTGATAGCGAATTGGCTAAAGATAATGCCGAAAGAAAAATAATGATTAATGAAGTCAGGGAAAAGCTTAAAGAAAGGGAAATGAATAAATTAATGAGTGAAGTGAAAGAATCTATAGTTAATGATAGATTCAAATCAATATAAGATCAATAATGAAATTGATAATGATAAAAAAATTAATAATGAAATTAATGAATTAAATAGAGTTAAAAATGCTATACCTATTTTAGTGGAAAAATATGGTATAATTTTTGAAGACACTGGGATGTCTAAATGATTATCAAGTGGATTTGAAATTAAAAGAGGGATTTTCACCTATTTTCTTAGCGTGTCGTAGAGTTCCTTTTGAGTGGAAAAAGGAAATCAACGAAGAATTAGATAAATGGGTTAATGATGGTATTATTATTCCTGTGGAATATAGTGAATGGCCTTCACCATTAGTACCCGTTAAAAAATCTAATACAAAACTTAGATTATGTGCAGATTTTAGAGTAACACTTAACAAATGGGTTGTGGAAGTGAAATATCCATTACCTCGAATTGAAGAAATTTTGGCAAATTTAAAGGGAGCCAAATATTTTTCAAAAGTTGACTTTTCATCAGCATATTTACAATTGCCTTTGAAAGAAGAAATTCGTAAATTGTTGACAATAACCACGCCTAAAGAATTATTTGCGTTTTGTAGATTACCTTTTGGGTTAAGTGTATCTGCACCAATTTTTCAGAGAACAATGGCATCAGTTTTCCAGGGTTTGGAAGGCGTATTTTATTAATGGATGATGTGTTGATAACTGGAGTGACGGCAGAACAACATAATCAACGTCTTGAAGAGGTTTTCAAGAGAATTCAAGATAAAGGTTTAAAAGCCAGTAAAGAGAAAATTATTCTTGGTGTCACCGAAATAGTGTATTTGGTTCATCAAATTAATGGAATTGAAGTGAAGCCGCTTGATAAAAATTTAAAAAATATTTTAAACATAAATCAGCCTAGTAATAAAGCTGAAGTGCAGTCTTTTATGGGCATGATAAATTATTATCATAGATTTGTGGTTAATTTTGAAAAAATAGCAGCTCCATGATATGACTTATTAAAAAAAGGTGTTAATTTTGAATGGAAAATTGAACAAAGGAATTCTTTTGAAAATTTAAAGAGAAAAATTGGTGAGTGTTTTAACAATGACTTGGAGATAATTCTTGCTGTTGATGCATCAAATAAAGGTGTCGGAAGCTCAATATTACATGTCATTGATGGTTTAGAGAGGCCAATTATTTTTTTACACGAATATTTCATGAAGTGGAAACTAGCTATTCTGTTATAGAACAGGAGGCTTTAGTGATTATTTTTGGGTTGACCAAATGTCGCGAATATTTAATCGGGAAAAGATTTGAGATTTATACAGATCACAAGCCATTAATTCATTTGTTCAAGAAAACAACAAAGAATTAATGATGTCCCCGAGGTTACAACGGTGGTTGTTACTTGTGGGAAGTTTTAATGTGGAAATAAAATATAGGCGAGGAAGAGAAAATCATTTGCCAGATATATTGTCGAGATTAGGGGCAGGTTGTGCTACTCCTGAAATTACTGATAACATGATTATAGATAGAGAAGATGCATTGGTGCGAACTCTATCAAATATCTTAAAAGGAGGTCCCACAGATTGGGAAACTCTTAAAATGAATACTCTAAAAGATAAAGAATTGAGTCAAATAAAATTATTCTTGTTGGGTAAAAAACCGTGGGGTAATAATTATAAAAATTATAAAAAAATTGAAAAAGAATTGTCCGTGGTGGATGATTGTGTAATGCGAGGAAATAGAGCTATAATTCCTTTGAAATTATGCATTAAAATTGTGAATTTATTACATGCCGGACATCAGGGTCGAGATAAAATGAAATCTTGAGCTCGTGAATATGTATAGTGGCCTGGTATGGGTAAGGATATTGAAAAAATTACAAGGAAATGTGTTCCATGTAATACATGTGCAAATATGCCCCGCAAAGAGTTAGGGCAAATATGGCCTAGATCAAAGAAACCGTGGGAACGTATTCATATAGATTTTTTTGATTTGGATAAAAGATCATATTTTTTAGTGGTGGATTCATATTCAAAGTGGATAGAATATGCAGAGGTACATGGTTATACAACTAAAATTGTTAATAATAAATTAAGTGAATTATTTGCAAAATTTGGTTTGCCGGACAAAATAGTGTCTGATGGAGGTCCAGCTTTTATAAGTGAAAATTTTAAACATTCTGTGATAGTACAACACATACTTACTCCACCTTATCATCCTAGCTCGAATGGGTAGGCTGAAAGGATGGTAGCTATTGTAAAAAATTGGATAAAAAGGCTAAACAAGAAAAAAGTGATATTTGGTTAGCACAATTATTTTACAATAATTCAAAAAATAAGGAGGGAGTTACTCCTGTAGAGTTATTTTTGAATAGGAGAACAAGATTTCTTTTGGATTTTTTAACACCAAATGGAAGTAATAAAATATTACCTTGTGAAAAGGCCATTATAAAATTTCCGGTGGGAAAATTAATATGGGGTCGTATTTTTGATAATAAAGATCAGAAATGGGAGAAAGGTATTGTACTCGAAAATTTTGGATTAAAAATGAGTAAGGTTAAATTTTGTGACGGAAATATTGGGATACGCCATAACGACCATATGAAAGTAATATATTGATTGTTATTTTTATTTATTATGAATACCATATAAATGTATATATTGGTTATAAATCATTAATATTTAAAAAATACTCAATTAATTTAGATATATTTATTATAAATTATTAATTATTGGGAGAATATTAGTGAATATAGTTCCAATAAATGCTTAATTATTGAGAAAAATTAATTTTAAATTGATGGGGAATTTAATTAGTGATTTATATATATTGTGCACATATGTATATAAATTATAAAAATTTCTTAAATGTTCTCCATTAATTCTAAATTATTAATTATTGAATATGAGTAGATATAGTTTCAATAAATGCTTAATTATTGAAATTTATATAATGTTTTCCATTAATTATGGAATTATGTTTTTAAATATGTGATTTAAAATTAATTTCGAGAAAAATATGAGTGGATATACAGTGAAACGATACACATGTTTAAATATACTATAAAAGGGGGTAAACAAAATAAGATTTTATTTTTAATAGAATAAAGATTGAAATTAAATATGGACAAGCAATTAATTAAGAAGATTAATATAGTTGATTAATCATTATAAAAAAAATGTGTTAAAATTTAATTCAAAATAAAAAATTAAAATACTTACATATTAATTATTTTTAATTTTTCTTAAATAATAAAAAAAAATGCTTAATATAGAATCTTTATTATCCAATAGTAATACTAATTTTTCCAATTTAAATGAAAACTCCCAATCTTCGTCGAGAATTCAAAGACCAAAAAGAATATACAAATATTGGAATAAAGAAAAATTAGATATAGTTACCAAAATGTTATCAATGCCGGAAAAACAACAAATGTTTGATAAATTATAATTATATTTTTTATGTATTAATTATTTAATCGAAATTATTATAAAAGTTTATAGTGTTATCATATTTTTATCGAAATAAATGGATATACAAAATAGATTACATTTAAGAAATTCTAAAATATTTTCAAATATTAAAAAGACTTTTTACAAAAAATGATTTAGAATTTTAAATGAAATTTAATCAAATATCTTACTTGAGCATTCTCAAAGAAAATAAAAAAAAAATTCATTTTTCATCACAAATTAGATATATGTAACACATTTCTTTTTATAATGATTAATCAACTTAATCTTCTTAATTAATTGCTTGTCCATATTTAATTTCAATCTTTATTCTATTAAAAATAAAATCTTATTTTGTTTACCCCCTTTTATAGTATATTTAAACATGTGTATCGTTTCACTGTATAAAAAATACTTAAAATACAAACTTTTAAATATAATTAAATTAATATTTTTTAAAGTAACATGTGCAAAAATGAGTTAAATAAAAGAAAAATTTTCCAGTGGGAACAGTGAATTTAGTGAGATAAAAATTTATTATTATAATCTTTGATAAAACAGTTATAATAGAAAATAAAAAAAAACTTTAATAAGATAATCGATCTCCAGTGGTGTGAAAAGAAATAAATACGAGTGTATATTATTTTTGTTTTAAAAAAAAAGAAGTTGTGTTCATAATTGGTTTAAAGGACCAAATGTGAAAGAAAAGAAAATATTAAAATGTATTTTATGTTAACAAAATAAGTGTAGTATATATGTCATAGAATTGTATTTTCAAATGTTAACAAAATATTATATATATGTCACAAAATTATATTTACATATTATTATTAAATTGTACAATATTATATTTACATAATTATATTAAATTTTAACAAAATAATAGCGTAGATCACAAATTTATTATAATATGTAGTTAGTATAATTATGTTAACAAATGAAAATTCAAATTTCCTTTGAGACCAAAATATTGAGTAATTATGTTGGGAAAGAAGTTATATTTAGAAGTTTCATATATTTTGATTATAATATTTTGAAAATATATTTATCTTATATGTTACATATAACCCGGATGTGTTGGAATATAAGAAAATGATTGAAATATGGGAGTATAGATGACCAAGAGCTATGACACAAATGTAAGAATTGAGGATTATGAAGGAATGATATCAAATAAATGAAGAGAATTTGGAGATTATGAAAATGAAGCGAATATTATAAATTATATGAAATTATATTTAGGGATAATGAACACGTGGCCTATGAAGGGTGGGCGTGTTGTAGTTTTGTACTATTATGATATATATTTATGCATATATATTATAAAATGTCAATCAAAAATATTATTTTTATTGTTAAAAAAAGAAGAAAAATTATGTAAGATATATATATGAAAAATAGAAATTTTGAAATAAAAAAATTGAAATTAAATAAATTCAATAATATGAGAAATATTTTAATATCTTCAACTGAAATTTTAATTTAACAAGTTAACAATATATATATTTTTACCCATTTGCTTTAAAAAAATTAAAAAATAACCATTATGACAATTATCACTTTCCTATAGTACATCTTCACTGAAATTTTAATTTAACATGTTTACAAATATATATTTTTACCCAATTGTATTAAAAAAATCCAAAAAAGTTAACGATTATGACATTTTAATTTAATATGTTAACAAAATCTATTTTTACCCATTTGCCTTAAAAAATTTTTAAAAAGTTCAAAAATAACGATTATTACAATTATCACCTTCCTATGGTACATTTTCACTGAAATTTTAATTTAATAAGTTTACAATATATATATTTTAACCCATTTACTTTAAAAAATTTAAAAATAACGATTATGACAATAATCATTTTCCTATGGTATATCTTTACTGAAATTTTAATTTAACATGTTTAGAATATATACTTTTACCTATTTGCCTTAAAAAAATTCAAAAAAGTTCAAAAATAACGATTATGACAATTGTTACTTTCTTGTGGTACATTTTCACTTAAATTTTATTTAACATGTTAACAATATATATTTTTACCTATATGCCTGAAAGAAATTCAAAAAAGTTCAAAAATAACAATTATGACAATTGTTACTTTCCTGTGGTACATCTTCACTAAAATTTTATTTAACATATTAACAATATATATTTTTACCTATATGCCTGAAAAAAATTCAAAAAAGTTCAAAAATAACGGTTATGACAATTGTCACTCTGTTGTACATCTTCACTGAAATTTTAATTTAATATGTTAATAATATATATTTTTACCCATTTGCATTAAAAAATTACAAAAGAGTTCAAAAATAACGATTATGACAATTGTCACTTTCCTATGGAACATCTTCATTGAAATTTTAATTTAACATGTTAACAATATCTATTTTTGCCCATTTGTCTTAAAAAATCCAAAAAAGTTCGAAATGTCACTTTCCTGTAGTACATCTTCACTGAAATTTTAATTTAACATGTTAACAATATCTATTTTTACCCATTTGCTATAAAAAATTTCAAAAATAACGATTATGACAATTGTCAC